ACAAAAGAGAGGGAGGCCTTCAACTAGATGGATTGACACAGTGGCTACGATGATGGGCTCAAGTATAGCAGGGATCGGGCAGTGTTTCGTTCTGCTGTGCATGGGGTCGCTATGAGTCGGAAACGACTCGACGGCACCTAACAACAACAACAGTATTCCATTGTGTGTATGTACCATAGTTTATCCATTCATCTGTTGATGGTCACTTAGATTCCTTCCATCTTTTTGCTACTGTGACTAGTGTTGCGATGAACGTGGATGTACATGTACCTATTCATGTCACATCTCTTATTTCTGTAGCATATATACCTTGTGTTGGGATTACTGAATCATGTCATATTTCTAACTTTTCAAGGAAGTGCCATACTATTTTCACAGTGGTTGCAAGATTTTACAGCCCTACCATCAGTGTATGAAAGTTCTAATCTCTCCACACTCTTGCCAGCATTTGTTAAAACAACTGTTTTTTGTTTTGTTTTTTTAACTTTGCTATTAATGCTGAGGTAAGATGATATCTCATTTTTGCTTCAATTTGCATCTTTCTATTGACTACTAATCATAAGTATTTCTTCATGTGTTTTTTGGTCACATGAATATCTTCTTCAGTGAGGGTCCTGTTCATGTCTTCTGACCATTTTAAAATTGGATCATTTGTCTTCTTGTTGCTGAAGTGAAGTTTTCTGTAAATTTTAGAGATTTATAACCCCCTGTCTGATACATGATTGCCTGAATTTTTCCCCCAGTCTGTTGATTCTCTTTTTAGTTCTTTTGGTGAAATTTTTTGATGTGCATAAATGTTTAATTTTTAGGAGGTCTGAGTCATCTATTTTATCTTTCTGTGTTTGTGCACTTTTAGTTACATTTGACAGTATACTTGTGCCATATATTAGGACCCCTAAGTTTGCCCTTATTTTTTCTTTGACCTTTATAGTTTTATGTTTTACATTTAGGTCTTTGATCCATTTTGAGTTAATTTTTGTGTATGGTGAGAGATATGAATCCTCGTTTATTTGTCTGCAAATATATATCCAGTTTTGCCAACACCATTTGTTAAAGAGACCATCTCTTCCTCATTCAATATGTTCCGGCCCTCTGTCAAAGGTCAGCTGTCCATAAGTGAATGGGTTTAATTCTTGATTTTCAATTCTGTTCCATAGGTTTATGTGCCTGTTGTACCAACTCCAGGCTGTTTTTACCACTATAGCAATATACAGTTAACACTTGAACAATACCGAGGCTAGGTGTGCTGATCCCCCATGTAGTTGAAAATCCTTGTTTAACTTTTGACTCTCCAGAAACTTACCTATTAACAGCCTACTGTGACTTAAAACCTTAGTGGTAACATGAATAGTCAATTAACTCAATTCTTGCCATACAATTATTAGATTTTTCACACGAAGACACAGATGCATACGCAACCAAACCCACTGTCATTGAGTTAATTCTGACTCATAATGACCCTGTAAGACAGAGTAGAACTGCTCCATAGGGTTTCCAAGGCTGTATATCTTTATGGAAGCAGACTGCCTCATTTTTCTCCCATGGAGGGTTGGCTAGGTTCAAACCACCAGACTTTTGGTTAGCAGCCAAATGTTTTAAACACCCATGATCTCTTTCCTTTGCATATAAAGTTGATGATTGATTTTTCTGTCTCTTTAAAGAATGATGATGGAATCTGGATCAGGATTGTGTTTTATCTGTAGATCACTTTGAGTGGTATTGACAGTTTCACAATATTAAGCCTTCCTATCCATGAACAAAGGACCTTTGGTGGCATAGTGTCTAAGTCACTTGACTGCTAACCAGAAGGTTGGTGGTTCAAACCCAGCAGCCACTCCTCAGATGGAAAGTTGGGCAATCTACTTCCTTAAAGATTTACCACCTCAGGAACCTAAAGGGGGTGTCTATAAGTGGGAATTGACTTGATAGCAGTGAGTTTGTTTCTTTGTTGACTTTTTTTTTTTTTGATCCATGGACATGGTATGTTCTTCCACTTATGTGCATCTCTGGTTTCTTGCAGTAGTGTTTTATAGTCTTCTTTATAGAAGTCTTTTTTATCTCTGCTTAGATTTATTCCTAAGTACTTCACCTTTTGGGTGGCTATTGTAAATGGTATTATTTTCCTTTTCTGAGTTCTTTTTGTAAGTGTAGAGGAATCTGACTGATTTTTATATGTTGACCTTGAATCCTACCACTTTCCTGAACCCTTCTATTAGTTCCAGTCATTTTCTTGTTGAGTCTCTGGGATTTTCTGTGTATATGATCACAACATCTGCAAATAGAGTTAGTTTTACTTCTTTAGCAATTTGGATGTCATTTATTTCTCTTTCTTGCTTTACTGTTCTAGCAAGGACTTTGAGCACAATGTTGACTAGGACTTGTGAAAAGGGCATCCTTGTTAGATTCCCATTTGCAACAGGAATATTTTCAGTTTCTCTCCAATGAGAATAATGTTGGCTGTTGTTTTTGTGTATTTGACCTTAATTATGTTGAGGAATTTTCCTTCTATTCCTATTTTGCCTAGTGTTTTTTAACAGGAATAAGTGTTGGATTTTGACAAATGCATTGATTGATATGATCATGTGGTTCTTTTTCATTGTTTTATTTTCATGGTAGATTACAAGGATTGTTTTTCAAATGGTGAAACATCTTTGCATACCTGGTATGAATCCCACTTGGTCATGATGTATTATGTTTCTGATATGTTGTTGGATTCCATCGGCTAGTATTTTGCAAGAAACCCAAGAAGGGGTCACTATGAGTCAGATCTGACTCATTGGCAGTGAGTTTGACTTGGTTTGGTTTTGATATCTTCATGAGGGACATTGGTATACAATTTTCTTTTTTAGTGGTATCTTTGCCTGGTTTTGGATCAGGGTTATACTTGCTTCATCAAATGATTTCTATAGTATTCCATCCTTTTCTATCTTCTGGAATAGTTGGAGGAGTATTAGTGTGGCAGAATTTTTCAGTGAAGCTGTCTGGGCTGACTTTTTTTTTGTTAAGAGTTTTGTTGTTGAAGTTTCGTTGACAATCTTCTTCAGTTCCTTCTTTTGTGATAGATCTGTTCAAATTTTCTACTTTAGATTGTGTTAGTTTGGGCAGGTAGTGTATTTCTAGAAAATTTGTCTGTCTCTTCTGTTGTTGTTGTTATGTGCCATCGAGTTGGACCCAACTCATAGCGACCCCTCCTTGGGTTTCCGAGGCAGAGTCACTATGGAAATAGTTTGCCCCATTTTCCTTCCAAGGAGTGGCTGGTGGGTTTGAACTGCCAGCCTTCTGGTTAGCAGTCAAGTGCCTTTAGGCACTATGATACCAGAGCTCCTATTTCTTCTAGGCTTTCAAATTTGTTGGAGTACAGTTCTTCATATGTACTATTCTGGTATTAACCTTTATATTTCAGTTGGTTCTTTTGTGACGTCACCTATTTCATTTCTTATTTGTGTTATTTGCATCTTCTCCTTCTTTTGCTTTGTTAAATTTCCCAGTGGTTTTTCAATTTTATTAATCCTTTCAAAGAATCAACGTCTAGTCTTCTTATGGATTCTTTCTATTACTTTTTTATTTCATTTATTTCTGCTGTAATATTTAGTATGATTTCCTCTCTTCTAGTGACTATAGGCTTCTTTTTTTTTTTAACTGTTCTTTTTCTAGTAGTTGGAGTTGTTGGATTAAAGTGTTGATGTTGGCTCTTTATTCTTTATTGATGTGTATGTTTATTGTTGTAAATTATCCTCTGAGAACCACTTTTCCTTTGTCCCAGAGATTTTGGTATGTTGTATTTTCATTCTCACTTGATTCAAGGAATTTTTAAATTTCATTTTCCTTCATTCTATTACCCAGTAGTTATAAGCTGGGTGGTATTCAGCTTACATATCTATATCTATATCTATATCTATATCTATGTCTATGTCTATATCTATGTCTATGTCTATATCTGTATCTATAGATATAGATTTTTTTTCCTTGTTCTTTGTGGAAGAATGTTTCAAGGTAAAATTCATGTGTAACAAATTATCATCATCAAACCAAACAAGACTTATATTTAAATAACATTATTTCTATTCATTGTTTTCTTATTGGCCTAGAAAATAAAGAAAGTGCTGGTAGTGTCAAATTTAATCAAATGTGAAAATTCATACTATGCAAGTGTCTTGTATTTCTTTATTCTGATAAATAGAGAACAAAACCTATAAACTATACAGTATAAGAAATAATATACTGTAAATGGCAACTGCTAACAGTTAAAAGACATTTAATATTTGAAAAACTATGTACATATTAAGTCCCTGACAAGGAAAGGCCAAAAGATGTCAACTTGAAATTATTAATGAAATACTTTGTTGTTGTTGTTGTTATGTGCCATCAAGTCAGACCCAACTCATAGCAAACCCTCCTTGGGTTTCCAAGGCAGTATCACTACGGAAGTAGACTGTCCCATCTTCCTTCTGAAGAGTGGCACTTTAGTTGTTCCCTAATCCCAATCCCTATTTTTTAGACTCTATATTATATACTGATTTCAAACCAGATGTATTAAACTCCAATGTCTTCTTAGGTCAGCTAAGAAACAGTTTGGCTTATTTCCTAGATCATTCACAATAAAACTAGAATATCTGTGATAAAAGTAGAGCTTAAAAAATAGATTCATAGAACTGCTTCTAGCTCCTCATTACCAACAGAGCATGCTCCACAATTCCCAGATGGATGCACAGGTCTGCGTAAGTGTGACTAACAGAGAGAATCATAGATGAGCATGGGTAGAAATGCAACGAAGTTAAGAATGGCTGAAGCAGGTGGTGGCAGGAATGCAAAAAGCAAGTAGCAAGGCAATCAATTGTGTACTCAGAAGGGTCAAGTCACCAATATCATCTGCTCACAAATGACAGGAGAAAATTAACTCAAAGGAAATATTGTCTCCTTCCATCTAAACTCAATCATAGTCATTTGTGGGTGGCTGTTTTATGTTGTCCACACAATTGTGGTAGAAACCAATTCAATTTTCAAGGGCAAGAGACTTTGCCACTAAACAGGATGATGTTATTCTTCCTGATGAAAAACAAGAATGGGTGATCTGCTCTAAACACCGTCGACTCAGGGAGTTGCTTCTCTACAATGTTAGTTCCTGTGGTGGCTGTTGCCTCGGTGCCCTCCTCTGTAACCTCTATGTATGACTTGTGCATCAGCTTTGACAAATATAGACGACCACCCGCAGCTATGCCAGACAGATCTGCTTTGGATTCATCAAAGATATCTCTCAGCCCTAGAGATTTTAAATATGGTTTAGCTTCATAATTCTTCTCTATCTTGAACTGTGGAAGAAACACCTCGACATAGCGAGAACTCATTCTTTGGGGATTGGTCCAGTCCATCAGATTCCGAAAGGTCAATTTATTTTCAATCTGTTGGAATAAGAGAAAAGGCAATTTAGAATTATAAGATCAAGGAAACGACAAAACAATAACTAGAAAGACATATGATTTTCTATAACTATTCTTTCCTGAATATTGTGATGGTTTTTTCTTTTTGTATTGTCTGATTGTTTCCTTTTTTTTTTTTTTTTTTTGGCAGTGTTTCCTCCCCTCCTCTCCCACGGTGGGTAACCAACAAAGAAAGTTTCCTTCCATAGATAAACCTTTCCTTGACTTTTTACAATAATTAATACAATGTTTGTCCTTCTGTGATTGGCTTATTTCATTCAGCATAATGTCCTCCAAGTTCATCCATGTTATGTGGTGTTTTGCAAATTCTACATTATTCTTTAATGTTGCATAGTATTCCATTGTGTGTATGTACCATAGTTTGGTCTGAATATTGTGTTATTGAAGAGAGAGAGAAAGAAACAGGCAGAGACAGGAGTCCCTGGATGGCATAACTGGTTCCACACTTGACTACTGACTGAAAGGTTGGCAGTTTGAACACACTCAGAGGAACGTCAGAAGAAAGGCCTGATGGTATGCTACTGAAAGACCACAGCCTTGGCAACCCTGCTGAGTACTGTTCTACTCTGCCTAACATGGGGTCGTCATAAGCTGGAGTCAACTCAATGGCAACTGGTGTGGTTTTTCAGTTTGACAAATGTCAGACAACTAAATACTATGAGCCCCCTTTCCCTCCATCATGTGATTGTTGTAAGGACCAAATGAGATGATATAAATGACAGGCACAGCACATGGCCTGGGGCGTAGTTGGTGTCTATTATTATGTCTATTTTTGTCTTTGATTGGAAGTCCTGAGAGGTGAAAAGGTCTACACCTCTGGAATTTTAGGTCACAGATTCAGAGAGACAAATCCAGGAGGAGAAGGAGAAGAGCTGAAAAAGATAGAGCTCTGAGGGGCAGTGGTGGCCCTGGCTCCCCTGGCCCAAATGTCTATGTGCTTGGCACCGTGCTGGTCCTCTGCCTCCGCTGCGCCAGTCAGAGAAACACCACCCTCTGCTTTAAGCTAGAGAACAGAAGCACTGAGTAAGACCACATTTTATTTCTCAAAGACCCACTTCAAAACTCCATCACATCATATCTGCCTGCAGATGCTCAACCTATCAAAATATCAAGTGCATGAAAGACATTTCATGGACGATGTTGAGAAGACCTAAACTCATGCTTTTTGGCCTCCAAAGCTGAGATTTTGAGAGTCTCAACTAGTTTAACTCAAATTATACTAAGTGAAGGTAAGATCATTTTAACATCTAGAACAGTAGTGCACAGCAGGTTCTCTTTAAATATTTGTCACATGCATGCACGAGTAAGTCTCTAATATTCCAGCAATCTAAAATCATAAAATCAATGAATAAAGAAACAATCAAGAGTATATTAAAAGCCATGATGCCTAGCTACCATTACTGAACATTTTGATCAAAGATTCTGATCAAAAAGGGGGTGGGGGATGCCAAATGCAGAACATAATTTCAAATCCTCAGGGAGTGCAAACTTTCTAGAGCCAGTGAGGCTGGGTGTGGTACTTAAGGTTGTTGTCAACTTGGCTGGGCCTGGTTGAGTGGCTGGGCAGCTGGATGTAGTTGTTTCCCATGGGGAGATTGCCAATCAGTTCCATGGTGGAATCTGCTGGAGCAGCTGAGTAGCTGTTTTAGGGATGTGGGCTGCTTCCAGTCGATAAGAAGAAACTTTGAGGAAGGTCTCCAGCTTTTTGGCGCACTTGAACCCTGCATGTAGCCAAGTCATTGTCAAGCAGCCTGCCGTACCCTGATGACCTTGGGACTTCTGAACTTGAATTAGTGCCCTGCCGTGTTGTTTGGTAACATTGGGACTGTGCCTTTGTACTTTTTGACCTTGGGTTTGTCAGCCTCAGCAGCCAGCAGCTGTCTGAGTGAAGAAAAGCCTCCAGCTTCAGTGGCCTGGAAGCAGGAGGAAGAGCTGAAGCCCAGCATCGAGGGACTTTCACCCAGCCCCTAGAGCCTGCCACTTTGACCTTGGACTTAAAGCCTCCAAACTGTAAGGGAATAAATTCCTGATTGTTAAAGCCATCTTAATTGCAATATATTCCTGTCAGAGCGGCACTAGGTAACCAAAACCAAGCAATAGTTTAGCTTAGCTAGTCAGGTCCAACTCAATGGCACATAACAACAACTGCAGCAGTAAAGATGGCACATAACAACAACTCAACAGTAAAGACCGTCTGCCTTGAGCATTACGCACTTTTAAAGAACTATCTGCATAGAATCAAACTGACAGCAACAACACCAGAAGTTAGATAGGAAGCTTAGGCGGCAGTGAATTTATGTTAATAGTGACGAATAAACCAGAAAATGAGGGTAACGATGGCTGGACAACTGGAAGAATGCAATCAATGCATTCAATTTCATAAGGCAAAATCAAGAGCATCATCCGCGAAGGGAGCATAAGCCCTGTTGAATTGTGTGATAATGTTAATTTTTAAAGTAAATTTTAAAAACATTTTTGAAAAACAAACGATGGCTGGACAACTGGAAGAATAATCAATGTCACTGAATTATGCATGTAGAAATTGTTGAACTGGTGTATGCTTTGCTGTGTATATATTCAACAACAAAAAATTAGGGTTTTTTCTTTAAAAAAAAAAAAAAAAAAAAAGTATTCTGAGTCTTCTTATTTCCCAACAGTAAAAGTGGCAGTAGTAACTTACTTGGGATATGTTGTTCTCAGGCAACAGGATGTACATGCTTATGCCACCATGATATCTGAGCTCTAGGACCTTCATGGGCGGGTCCTTAATGACAGATAAATTGAACCTCTGTTCTTGATGCATCATGGGAACTTCTTTCCCAGAACACTGAAAGTCAATTCACAAAATAAATAAATACTTATGACCCCATATCATTTCATTTAGATGGTATATTTGACCAGGTCCTATAAGAACAGTGCCTGAGTTTTTGCTCAGTTGATCTTATAGGCTTTCCTGACATGCTGTCAACAGTGGTATCATCAGTGCATATCTTAGTGGTGAAAAAACAGCTTTTAAGTTTGCCTGAGTTTTAAACTTATCATCTTGCTCAGGCAAGTTAGCGCTCTGTCTTCACTTGCTCATCATTCGTGAGAGTGAAAATAGTCCCCACTGCATAGGATTGTTGTGAGGATTATGGAAGCTAGTATACCCAGCACTGAGAGCATTGTCTTGCACTTAATGACTCATCAGAAATTATCTATATAAGTACTGTAATGCATAATTATTAAATAGTATTGAAATTAAAAATGAATACTATAATTCTTTCTCTTACCAGAAGAAAAATACAGAATACTACAATCAAAGTTATACAATTTAAGAACTAGGTCATATAAAAATTAAAAAGTGCTGCTAACAACATCTCTTAATTTAACTTGGAAGAAACACTAGATGTTATCTAGAGGACAATTTGCAGATTTAGTAATGCAAGGTTGTCATTGTTGCTGTTAGTTGCTGTCAAAGGCACTCCTGATCAATTCCTGCCAAGAGGACATTCTACTGGGAAAAACTCCCCAAACTGAGGAGGAGCACTGCATACCTTGGAAGATCTGAAACGGCCTTTGAGAGTTTCGCTCTTGGTGAATGCCGATTCCCATCTGCCTTTGAAGTACACGGCGTTCACCAACACCATCACAGCGGACGAGCTTATGCTCCCTTCGCGGATGACGCTCTTGATTTTGCCTTATGAAAAGTTAATTATGTGATAATGTTAATTTTTAAAGTAAATTTTAAAAACATTTTTAAAAAACAAACTATATAGGCATGAATTTTTTTTTTCATACCACATCATAATAATAATGACATTGGTAATAATCCATAATAAATTATTGTACCTAGCACTTTCTACCACCCCTCATCAATCATTAATTCTCAAAAAGAACATTTCAAGATCTAGCCTGAAGTATAGCACAGTATGTGATAGGATAATACCCGTGCATCTACAAGGAAGACCAGTTAATATTACTATTATTCAAATTTGTGTACCAACCACTAATGCCAACGATGAAGAAATTGAAGATTTTTACAAACTTCTGAAGTCTGAAAATGATCAAACATGCAATCAAGATGCATTGATAATTACTGAGGACTGGAAAGTGAAAGCTGGAACAAAGAAGAAGGATTGGTATTTGGTAAACATGGCCTTGGTAATAAAAATGACACCAGAAATTGCAGGACAGAATTTTGCAAGACCAATGACTTATTCATTGCAAATGTATTTTTTCAGCAACAGAAGTGGTGACTATAGACGTGGGACCTCACCAGGTGGAATGGTCAAATTGACTACATAAGTGAAATGAGACGATGGAGAAGCTTGGTATCATCCGTTAGTACAAGCTCTGGGAAGGAATGAGGAACAAACCATGAATAGTTCATATGCAAGCTCAGGTTGAAGCTGGAGAAAATTGAAATAAATCCATGAAAGCCAAAGTACTTTGAATATATCCAACCTAAATTTATGTCTGCGCTTCTTCCAGGACAGGTTTGTTCATTCTTCTGGTAGTCCATGGTATTTTCGGTATTCTTCACCAATACCACAATTCAAATCATCAATTCTTCTTCAGTCTTCCTTATTTATTATCCAGCTTTCACATGCATATAAGGCAATTGAAAATACCATGGCTTGGGTTAGGTGAACAAGTTAGGACCTCCCAACACTAACTGAGGCTATCTGCCTGAATAGGGGGCAAGTTGAGGGATGGGAAGAACTTCTCTATGGCAGGGGCTCTTCACCTAAAGATATAGAAACTTCATGAAGCAAAGTGTATTTGGAGAACACTTTTTGGCACTTTTGGAAGAATGAGGTTGGAAAGATTGGAGATAAGGTTTAGATGATAAAGAGCTTTGACTGGGTGGGAACGCTGGATTATCCTGCAGGTGATGGAGAATGCTTGTTTGGGAAGCACTAAATGGCGAGAAAGGGCATAGTTATGATGGCTCATGTGCCTCTCAGAAGGACGACTCTAGCAGTGGTTAGTGTTCCCATCTTGAATTCTGAGTACAAAAACTTGCCAATATGGGAATAATTATACATAGATTTGCTTGAGAAAAGAAGCAAGAGAATTAGTAACTAGTCCCAATGAAGAAAGGGCCGTCTGATGCCAATAGAGAAATGTATTAGTAAGGTGATATACTTTAATACTAAATACTAAATAGAAGCCCAAAGTTCTTAGAAAAGTAACAGTTACATACTTTCTCTTGATGCTATGTGTGGTATATTTAAAACAAGTCATGGATAATCATCAAAGTGACCCTCTACCAGCATACTGCTAAAAGAATGGACAACAAGAGAAAAATTAAGACATTGCATTTTTGCTCCCAGGGCTAATTACATGTGTTTGAATGTTGGCATTTAAGAGAATAAGTCACATGTCTCATATTTCTGATACAGAGTCTGAGTCAGCAAATACGTGTATATTGTTCCTAGTACAAATCAAGGTTAAGCCTTCAGTAAAGAAACTTTAGAATTAGTTGATTCACAAAATGACATTGAATAGATTTCCTTTTTTGTTTTGTACTAAACCAGAACATTAGCTGGAATTGAGTTTTTAGTTGCAAACGAGAATTACCAATAAAAAGTGCACTTTTTCTGAAGTACTACCTTTGCTACACATACTGTTTGATAAACATTGAAGAAAATTTTAAAATGAATGGTAAACCAAACATCCTAAAGATTTTTTACAAAAAGCTATGGTATGAAACTATATTTTGTTAAGAGAGTAGGAAATCACAATTTTAATAAGGTTCAGTCCAAGAAGGAACAATATGAAATTAAAATCAACCCAATCCTAAAAAAAAGGATTGATTGTTACAATAAATACTATGTTGTGGCCTTTAAAAACAATGTCCTATAAACCACTCTTTGTTCACTGAGTAGATGTGATGTATCCAGATTGGTTGAGTAGATTATCTCTGCTTGTCTTTAATTTCTGAAATGGTCATAGTATCTGTTTGTCTTGCAGGGTTGTTTCCCTAACAAATAATCTAAAGAAAAAGACAAGATTTCTGAAAAGTATGAAGTTTACAAAAAGCCCTGGTATTGCAGTGGTTAAGCAGTCAGGTGCTAACTGAGAGGTCACCAGTTTGGACCGACCAGAGACTCCAAGTAAGAAAGATGTGTCAGTCTGCTGCCGTAGATATTACAGCCCCGGAAACCCTACGGGACAGATCTACCCTATCCTACATGGTCGCTGTGAGTCAGAATGGATTCCACAGTGACAAGTTTTGTTGTTTAATAAAGTATTAAAATTACTCGAAACCACATTGCAGACAAATAGTAAAGCAATTTTAACTAACAGTGATCATTTGGATTAGGAGAGGCTGTTCCTTATATGTGGGGAAAACTCCAAGCTTTAATGATGATGGTTCTGGGTATTCACACATAACTGACAAATCTTTTAGAAAAATAGAGCATTTCACTCACCATGTGTCTCATTTTCAATCCACTTGTTAATTTTATATCTGGTGTCTTCTACATCATTTGTAAAATCAAGTCGTTCCACTTTGGCATTGTATAATTTTTGAGCACAATCAATGTAGTTCTATAAATAAGAATACAGTTTTTATTTTTACAGATCACCACCAGCTAAGCATATAAACCAAAAACCAGACTATTAATGGTTAAGTTGACCCCAATTCATAGTGATCCCATGTGTGTCAGAGCAGAACTTGCTCCATACCATTTTAAATGGCGGATTTTTAGGAAGTCAATTACCAAAACCTTTATTTGAGTACCTCTGGGTGGACTCAAACCACCAATGGTTTGGTTAGCAGCCAAACGCTTAACCTTTTGCAGCACCAGGGACCGCAGTTACGAAGGTAAGAAATGTCTATCTGACCTTGTCTCTTCATTTCCACTGTCACTGATACTCAAGAACTGAGTCCTGCCTGAAAGTAAAGGGCCTAGCATTTCTCTGAGTCTCATTTCAAAAGACTTCTCAGAAAGTCCTATGAGTTTGACCAACCAAATGGCCATAAAAACAAAAGAACCAAACTCACTGCTGTCGAGTGAGATCCGACTCATGGTGACCCCTCTTTGGGTTCCTGAGGCAGTAGCACTAGGGAAGTAGATCACCCAACCTTCCTTCCAAGGAGTGGCTGGGGGTTCACCCAGCCTTCT